TGTGGAGACAGGACAGGGACCCCCTGGGGGCAGTGCAGCCACTCAGCACGGCAGACGGCCATGGAGCCCACTTGTTCCCGAGCCGTGTTCCGTGTTGTCAACAGATGATAAAACATCGCCATTCACTCACTCAGCTTTGGAAGTTGAGCCCGTGGTCCCACCATGTGCTCACAGCCTGTTCGTGTTGCATTGATCGTGGGGGTGGCACTTGCCCAGCTACATCGTAGGTGAGGTTACTAACGAGTTTGACCTGAAGTGATCTCTCCCGCAGCATCGCGGAGAAGGGGCTCTCCCTGGGAGGATCCGACGGAGGGGTGAGTTGTATGCGGTTCCTGCTTCAGTTTTCTCTTGGCTCCTTTGTTTAATAAATGTCTTTATTTATGTCAGAGAGAGGGAGGGAGAGGGAGAGAGAGACAGAAACATCGATGAGAGAGAAACATTGCTCAGCTGCCTCCTGCACACCCCCTACGGGGATCGAGCCCACAGTCCAGGCACGTGTCCTCACCAGGAATCGGACGGGGACCTCCTAGTGCATGGGACGTTAGTTTGAAACCTTGTTTTCTTGCGATCTCATTCGTCTGAGTGCTCGTTACCTTGAGATCTCGTTGGCTTGAGTTCTCGTGTGGTTTCCTGAACATGGACCCTCTGGGCGTGTGGAGCGTGGGAAGATTCCTTCTGCGTGGTTTGCTGACCCCTGAGTTCTGGCACCACCTGCCCCTGACCCAGTCTCGGTGTAAACTCCTCGCCGACTCACCCACAGGCTTTGCTGGAAAGTCTGAATATGCCTGTGATCACCTGCCTGACCTTTTTTGAATATATATTTAAAGAAGAACGATTTTAAATATAATAATGTTACATGCAATAAACATTAATATTTCAAGTAAAATGATTTGAAATATAATAACACTAGAGGCCCACACGAATTCGACATTAATATTTCAAGTAAAATGATTTTAAATATAATAATACTAGAGGCCCAGTGCCCTCTCGCAATCCGGGACCCCTCAGGGGATGTCGGACTGCCGGTTTTGGCCCCATCCCCACAGGCCAGCCCGAGGGACCCCACTGGTGCATGAATCCATGCACCAGGCCTCTCGTATGCATATAAGATCTTTGGTTAATCTCCTCCCGCCCTCCCCCCTCACGCTCTGCTCTGCCGTCTCTTGCAGGCGTCCATCTTGGACTTGCACTCGGGCGCCCTGTCTGTGGGGAAGCACTTTGTGAACCTGTACAGGTGAGAGTCTGCGGGGCGGCGGCCCCTCGGCGCGACCTGAACTCGGGGTCTGAGCACTCCTTGGCAGGGACACCAGCGAGGCTGGCATCGGCGGCTCTGAGTCCTGGTAAACCGTGACATTTGCCGCAGGAACGCGGGCCGGCAAGGACCGGAAGGCATGGCTCTTCTCAGAGGCAGCATCTTTGTTCTTCAAGCTTCAGGGGCCGTCTAGCATCGGGGCTTCTCGGGGAGCTGGGACCTGCTCAGGGCTCAGGCCCGGGGCCGCGGGCGAGCGGGAGAGGTGAGGCCGGCCGGCTCCCCATGAGCCGTGTGAGCCTCCCTGGGGTCTGAGGGATTCTGACCGCTCTCGGGGCCAGGAGAAGGCCAGACGCCTGCAGCCCCGTGGCCGGCACCCTCCGTCGGCTCGGCCGTCCTGGCCCCTTCCTGCCCTTTATCCTCAGGTGTTGCTGTATAAACAGATCCGACCTGCAGGCCCGGCAGCTCTCAGGGGCCTGTGGGCCACCTGAGGAAAGACAGGTGTTAACACTCCTTACTCCCTCAGGTACTTCGGGGATAAAGTAGAGAACATCTTCTCAGAGGAGGACTTCCAGGTGTACCGGTGAGGAGGGCCCAGGGCCGCGTGGTGCAGGGCAGGGCTGTGAGGAGG